TGTTGAGAAGGCAATAAAATGCAAAAACTAGAAGATCAGCATTTTAGGGATTTCTTACTACTAAGTGAAATATGCAAAAGTGCACACCAGCAACCTATTTGCTGTCTACCGAGCTATTCTTACCAGAACACACACAGCCGCGCTGCTGTCACCTGGAACTTCCAGGAGTGCTGAGACGGAGGGAAAGGACTGCTCTCCCGGGGCGGCTGCAGCCCTGGGAGGCTGCTGTGCCACCCTGCACCGTGCATGCCCACTGCTGCCTGTCTGTGCACCTCACATCCCCTTCGAAGTGGAGGCTGCTCAAGTCTGCATTCACCAGACCGGGAGGGATCGTTCAGTTGGTCAGAGCATCCTCCCTATAATACACCAAAGTTATGAGTTCCATCCCAGGTCTAGGCACAGACAAGCATCAACCAATGAATGCATAAATAAGTGGAAAAACATTAAGTTGATGTTCTCCTCTCTCTCCCTTCTTCTCTAAAACCAATACATAAAAAAAAGTGTGCACTGTCTCCCAAACAATAAAAGATGAGTCTTTGTAGAACATAATGCCAAAACGGTGTCTATTCGCGTGATCTTAAGTAGCCAAGCACAGCCTGGCCTTTGAGATCTGAAGGAATGAATTAGTACTTCAGCCAAGCCAGACCTGGGCCCTCAGGGGGAGGAACCGCCAGGCACTTCTTCATTCAGGGGGGCACGTCCATCAGGCAGCTGGGCCAGGACCTACCTCCCCTGGCTTTAGGAAAGATCCAGCTCCCTTGGCACAGCAGGGAGGGGGGGAGGGGGGGGTAAGGTAGAAGGGAGGTGCAGTGAAAGAATCCGACTCCCTAGAATAGAACCTCTTTAAAGGAGGAAAAGAAGCTTTAATAAAATTCAACCAAAAAAAGAACTTGCGGGACCATTGGTCCTAACCGTGCATTTCCCGACCACAGAGGACCACGTCGGCCCGAAGGCGGCGCCGGGAACCAGGCTCCCACGCTGCGGGCCCAGACGCCCGCCGAGTTTACCTGCTCAGCCCCGTAGACGGTGGCGAACTGGACGAAGTCCTCCACGCGGACGAAGCCGTCCCCATCCCCGTCCAGGGCATCGAACACGGTTCGGAGGCGGGGGCCGTCCTCCGCACACCCCGCAGGCTCGCTCGCTGGTGAGCGGCTCTGGCTTCCGTCCGACGGCAGGTGCGTGTCCACGGGACCCACCTCCAGCGCCAACTCGCTCGCCGTGGGCGAGGGCGAAGGAGGGAAGAAGCCGACCTCGCCCCTCCCGCGGCGGCTGTCGCCGAAATCCTGCGCGCGGGGAGACGCGCTCTCCGGACAACTTTGGGAGCCATAATCCTCTGACTCTTCAGTCCAGAAAAAAAGCGGGCCGAGTCCGGTCAGCTGCCGATCGGGGTCGGGGTCGGGATCGGGATCGGGATCGGGGTCGAGATCGGGGTCGGGGTCGGGGTCGTCGGCCTGACTCGGCAGCAGGTAGGAGGCCCCCGGAGCCCCATCGGCGCTCAAGCCGGCAGGGTCCTGCGGGCCCGGCCCAGGGCGCGGGGCGGGGTCGGCGGGCGTAGGGGCGGCCCCCTGCCAGTCGGGTCCGCCGGGCTCCGGGTCGGGGCCCGGGCCGCCCGTTGGGGAGGCCGACCGGCCCGGCTCCATCTTCATGGACGCGACCCGGGCCGCGGCGCGGGCCCTCGAGACCAGGAGTGAGGCGGGCGGCGCGGGCGGCAGACAAAGGCGCTCAGGGCGCGGCGGCGGGCGCGGGCATCCCCGCGGCGGCGGCGCGGGCGTGCGCGCGCGGGGCTCCCGGGCTGCTCCGGCTGGCGCTCGGGCCCTGCTCCGCCCTCGCCCATCTTGGCGCCGCGCTTCAGCTGCCCTCGGCCCCGAGGCGCGGCGGATGACGGCCCATGGCGGCGGGCGCGGGGAGGGCGCGGAGGAGGGCCGGGGCGGTGTGAGGCCGAGGGGCCGAGGAGGCCGGCGGAGCGGACGCTGAGGAGGAGTACGCCGAGGAGGGTGAGGAGGAAGGATGAGACGCCCGAGGTACCCAAGCGAACGCCGCCGCCCTGGCCCCGCCCCCTGCCTGCCTTACGTCAGCACGCCCCGGCGCCGCGGCCCCGCCCCCGCCGGCTCGCTATAAAAGGCTGGTGGCGGGGCAGCCGGATAGCGGATCCGCGTGCACCAGTCATCGCCTGGTGGGTGGGTTCTGTTGCTCCCGTTCTTTGCCGGGCCCCGGCCCTCGGGCTCAGGAAGAGGCCGTCTTCTGAGGCTGCAAAAGCGTACATGATGTCACCGCCTGGGAGTGCGGGGACTGCCGACCCACGCACGGTGCGGATGAATAAACTGCGGCGAGGGGGGGAACTAAGTGCACCTGTCGCTCAGGGGTTGAGTCCTCCTGGGCAGTAAAGCGCTCTCACAAATGGATAAGCGAAGAACATGACCCTAATGGGAGGCGGGAATGCGCGTAGCTCTGATCGCAGCCCCCGTGTAGGACCGCCCACCGGCGCACCTGCGCTCGTGGTGCTGTGTCCGCCCCTCCGCAGACACCGGGATCGCAGAGAGGGCGCAGGCGTTCACAGAGGTGGGCACGGAGGTTGGCAGAGGCAGGAGCTGGTCCGCGCGGTCCCTTCCCAAAGGTTGGAGAGCCCGGGAAATGCTGTGCATTTTCCCTTCTAATGGAAGATACAAGTGGTTAAACACGGATCTTTTTTAAGCCTAGGACAAGTGTTTTTCACAGGATGTAGTGCTGGTCGCCAGTCTGCAGTCTGGCCTTCCCAGCACGGTGGCTGTCTTTGACAACCAGCATCTGTTTCTCTAGCTGTCACTTTCGTCATTGAGGACACGGGAGGACAGACAGGAACACGAGTACCCTGCAGCAGGCATGAAAGTAGAGACATGCTAGTTAGAAGCAGGTGACCTGCCGGAGCCCTAGGCGAGGTGCTAAATTTAGCCTGTAATGAAATGTGTCGAGGGAGTGTATGAACTGGTATTTTTAAACTCTGTGGGCACCAAACCAGATATGTTTCATAAGCAGCTTTGGCAAGAACCAAAGGAAACTAAACCTCTCTTTCCAAGTGTAAAGTGTTCATTAACTGAGTCATCTTCCATGACAAAATCCCAGGACACGTGGTACCGGATTTTGTGAGGTTGGCCTTGGAAAAAAAGAAAAGCAAGGAATTCCTCCTCCAATACCACCCCAAACTATATTCTCGATTTCTTTTAAGAGCTGTATGCTCTACTCAGAAGATACTGTGTGCAGAGAAAAAAAATATCATCGCCCGTTTAGGAAAGAATTCGAAATAGGGCAGGACTGATGCCTTTGGCCAAATATTGTACAATTTTCAGATGTAGTTATAATGATGTGTCAGCCTTTCTAAATAAGGGTGTTAATGTGAGTGAGATAAACAAATATACATCAGAGCTGCACCCTGAGGAAATAGGCATTCCTCCTGCTGCTAATGCCCCAAAACTCAGCATTCCTTAGGCTGGCTCATGTGCCAAAACGGAACCTCAGCATGATGAGCTTGGTCCAATTCAAGAGACCTTGTGTGTGAAACATCGGAAGTGGAATTCTGGGTCAGTCATTCAGACTTCAAGTGTCCCCTTTGTGGCCTGTGAACATGTTTACTGGTAGCACTCCAGAGGAAATGAACCAACCCGTCTTGCCATTTTGACTGACTCCTCCTATGCACGGCTTAATTTAACCAGGTATCAGGTGCATAGAAGAGGGAGGGAGGACGGGGTGCAGCTCACATCTCTTGGTTTTGGGGTCTGAGTGAATATCTGTGGAAATCTCCCTCTGTGAATGTTTTCTTTTGAAGTTCCTCGGGATAAACATTTCTTTGGAACTCTCTAAGCAGTTAGGTCTCCTGATCCCTCTTCACTGGTGACGTTTGGCCTGTGGAGAAGGTGGTCCAGCAGAGTCCTGGCTGTGTGGCACAGCCCTGTTGGACCTGCCAGGGGAGTGGAGGGAAAGTGGGTCAGGAAACCTTAGGTGAAGTAGGGCCTCTCCATTATCTGGGTGAGATCTGGCCACTGACAAAAGGAGGGGGAGGGATATAGGAAAAGCTCAGTTTGATTATAAATCCATTGTTTTTAATGTACATATTCTTAAATCAGGAGGAACTACACCAAAATTATATGATTTCTAGCCTGATAAAAAGTCATCTCATCTTCTCTTTTTTTAATATATATATATATTTTTTGCCGAAACCGGTTTGGCTCAGTGGATAGAGCATCGGCCTGCAGAATGAAAGGTCCCAGGTTCAATTCCAGTCAAGGGCATGTACCTTGGTTGCGGCCACATCCTCAGCAGGGGGTGTGCAAGAGGCAGCTGATCGATGATTCTCTCGCATCGATGTTTCTAACTATCCCCCTCTCTGTAAAAAATCAATAAAATATACTTTTTAAAAATATATATATTTTTTGCCGAAACTGGTTTGGCCCAGTGAATAGAGCATCAGCCTGTGGACTGAAAGGTCCCGGGTTCGATTCCGGTCAAGGGCATGTACCTTGGTTGCAGACACATCCCCAGTGTGGGGTGTGCAAGAGGCAGCTGATCCCGATGTTTCTAATTCTCTATCCCTCTCCCTCTCTGTAAAAAATCAATAAAATATATTTTTAATATATATATATTTTTTTAAATTAATTTTTATTGATTTCAGAGAGGAACGGACAGGGAAAGATAGAAACATCAATGATGAGCGAGTCATTGACTAGCTGCCTCCTGTATGCCCTCTACTGGGGATCAAGCCCAAAATCCTGGCATGTGCCCTTGATTGGAATCGAACCCTGAACCCTTCTGTTCACAGGCCAACGCTTTATCCACTGAACTGAACAAGCTAGGGCTCATCTTCTCTTATTCAAACTTGACTGAATGCTAATGTTTCTTACTGTATTTGGCCAACTTGAATCATATATCTATTAATCGCCCACTTGCTTATTTTTCTATTTGATTCTCTGACTTTTTCTTCAGATAAAATCCCTCATCAGAGTCTGATCCCAGCAGCAGCTGTAGCGGCTCTCATCCTTCCAGGCTCTACTTGCTATCCCCTTCAGCTTCCGGAAATATGGCCTCTGGTGTGGCTGTCTCCGATGGAGTCATCAAAGTGTTCAATGACATGAAGGTAAAGAAGCGCAAGAAGGCGGTGCTCTTCTGCCTGAGTGAAGACAAGATCATCCTGGAAGAGGGCAAGGAGATCCTGGTAGGTGATGTGGGCCAGACAGTAGACGACCCCTATGCCGCCTTCGTCAAGATGCTGCCGGACAAAGACTGCCGCTACGCTCTGTATGATGCGACCTATGAGACCAAGGAGAGCAAGAAGGAGGACCTGGTGTTTATCTTCTGGGCCCCTGAGTCTGCGCCTCTTAAGAGCAAAATGATCTACGCCAGCTCCAAGGATGCCATCAGGAAGCTTACAGGGATCAAGCATGAATTACAGGCAAACTACTACGAGGAGGTGAAGGACTCTGGCAGAGAAGCTGGGGAGTTCGGGGGGCCTGACACGGCAGGGGATCTCCCTTCTCCGTGGCCAACATGGAAAGAGAGATGAAATTGGTTCTTCGTAGAGGCAGCCAAGGATTGAGAAATAAAGAAATGAAGAGAGTGATGCAGAAATAGGTTTAAGCTGGGCCCCAGACCTCCTCTGCTGGAGAGACTGACAACCCCTGAGCCACTATTTATTCTCCAATACACAAAGCCGGGGGGTTTTCGCAGGAAAAACAAGGAGCCTGGGAGGGGCCAGGTCCCATCCACTCCTTCCTGCCTGACAAACACAAGCCAGGAACTAAGAACATTTCTGCACTTCCAGGGCAGGAAGGTAACTGACAGGATTCTGTCAATATCCCCGGCTCAGTCAACAACAATCTAAAGAATGTCCAGGTATTTTCCAGGGGGCTCCCTACAGGGGGCAGTGCTGTCATCTCCCTGGAGGGCAAGCCTTTGTGAGCCCTCTCCAGCCCCTGCCTGGAGCATCTGGCAGCCCCAGACCTGCCTGTGGGAGGTTGCAGGCTGCCCCCCTTCTGCCAGACCCGAGGGGCTGGAAGGATCCCAGCGGGGGGAGGGCAATCCCTTCACCCAGTTGCCAAACAGCCCCCCACCCCCTGGACCTTCCTTCTCCCTCCACCCCTGAAGGTTCTGGCCTTCCCAAACAGCTTTTGATCTTCTGATTCCTCTTGGGTTGAAACAGACCAAGTCCTCCCTACCCCAAGCACCCCAGTTTTGGAGAGGGCCTGTATTTTTTTTAACGACACCTCTACTTGCAACCTGTTCCTCCCCCCTTTCCCATGCTGCCAACTTCTAATCGCAATAGTGACTCTGTGCTTGTCTGTTCAGTTTGTGTAGAAATGGAATGTTGTGAAGATAACCCTTCCCCATGCTATCTGGTTCCCCTCCCCCTTTCCACCTGGTCTTGGCCACTCATGGAAGCAGGACCAGTAAGGAGCTCTTGATTAAAAAAAAGAAAGAAAGAGAGAGAGAGAGAGAGAGAGAGAGAGAGAGAGAGAGAGAGAGAGAGAGAGAGAGAGATTGAGAAAGAAAGAAAGAAAGAAAGAAAGAAAGAAAGAAAGAAAGAAAGAAAGAAAGAGAAAGAAAGACAGACAACAATAAAAAGCCTCACTTGATTTAAAAAAAAATCCCAGGCTAGTGCACTCAGTGGTTAGACCATCAGCCCTCACACTGAAGGATTGCAGGTTTGATTCCTCATCAAGAAGGACACATACCAGGCTTGTAGGTTTGATCCCTGCCTTTGGGAGGCAACCACTCCACTCTTTCTTTCTTTTTTAAAAAATGTATTTTATTGATTTTCCACAGAGAGGAAGGGAGAGGGATAGAGAGCTAGAAATGCTGATGAGAGAGAAATATAGACCAGCTGCCTCCTGCACACCTCCTACCAGGGGTGTGCCCACAACCAATGTACATGCCCTTGGCCGAAATCGAACCTGGGACCTTTCAGTCCATAGACTGACGCTCTATCCACTGAGCCAAACCGGTTTTGGACACTCTACTCTTTCTCACATAAATCTCTCTCTATCTCCCCTTCACCCCCTCCCTCCCTTCCACTCTCTCTAAAAATCAATGGAAAAAATATCCTCTGGTGAGGATTAACAACAAAAAAATTCCCTTATTATTTTAATAGTTTTTGATGTTGTAAATATCTTCTTCTTGCCTGTGACCCCTTCATGAACTCTGTTGGAAAATTAGACAGAAACCTTTAATTTTTTAAAATACATTTCTTTATTGATTTAAGATAGCAAGGGAGAGGGAGGAAGAGATAAAAACATCAATGATGAACCGAAACCGGTTTGGCTCAGCGGTAGAGCATCGGTCTGCGGACTGAAAGGTCCCAGGTTCAATTCTGGTTAAGAGCATGTACATTGGTTGCGGGCACATCCCCAGTAGAGGGTGTGCAGGAGGCAGCTGATCGATGTTTCTCTCATCGACATATCTAGCTCTCTATCCCTCTCCCCTCTTCTCTGTAAAAAATCAATAAAATATATAATATATTTAAAAAAAAAAATCAATGATGAGCCCTGAGAGGTTTGGCTCAGTGGCAAGAGCGTCAGATTTAGGACTGAAGGGTCCCAGGTTCGATTTGGTCAAGGGCATGTACCTTGGTTGTAGGTACATCCCCAGTAGGGGGTGTGCAGGAGGCAGCTGATCAATGTTTATATCTCATCAATGTTTCTTTTGTTAACAAAGAAACAAAAAAAGAACACACACATATTGAAACCTGTAAAGAATTTTTGTGAGTTTATTTGAGCCAAACAGTCACATATGCCGGGAAGCAGAACCTCAGTGGGTTGAGATAATGCTCCAAAGAATGGCGGGTAACATTTCTATTTATACATTGCAATCAAAGGAGGGACATAGGTGGGTTACATGAAATTCACTGGTGACAGATTAAGGAGGCAGGAGAAAGCAAATCGGCGGGAAACCCCTGGGATTGGATAAAAAGTAAAATGATGGACACATACTTAGGTGGGTACCAGAACAATTAACATGATAATGAAGGAATTTGTGGTATCTGTCCTGGCTCCCATCACATTTGGTTGTGCCCCAGGGGCTCCGGAGAAAGGGAAGTTACAAGTTACCCAGGCATCTCATAGATATTATCTTAGAGGCAAAAAAAAAAAAAAAGCAAAAAAAAAAAAAAAAAAGCAAATGGGCTCAATAAAGAAGATCTAAATTCAATAAAATATATTAAAAAAAAAAAAAAGTCCAAAATCGGTTTGGCTCAGTGGATAGAGCGTCAATCTGCGGACTGAAAGGTCCTGGGTTCGATTCTGGCCAAGGGCATGTACATTGGTTGCGGGCACATCCCCGGTAGGGGGTGTGCAAGAGGCAGCTGGTCAATGTTTCTCTCTCATCGACTTTTCTAGCTCTCTATCTCTCTCCCTTCCTCTCTGTAAAAAATCAATAAAATATATTAAAAAAAAAAAGAGATCTAAATTGATCTTTGTCAGGGAAAATATTGGCCTAGGACATGACTACCCACTATAACCTGTTTGTAGTTTAAATATTTAATTTTCAAACCATCTTTTGTGGTTATTTTAGGTCTCTGAGTTTGCAAGATTGCCACGCAGGCCTCCCCTGAGCTTCCCAGGTTAGCATGTGGCTCCTTTCATTCACACTCTCTAGCTCTCTCCCTTCTTCTCTGTAACAAAAAATAAACAAATAAATAAATAAATAAATAAGAAAGAAAAAAAGAGATATCAATGGTGAGAGAGAATAATTGATTGGCTGCCTTCTGCACGGCCCCTACTGGGGGATCAAGCCCGAAACTCTGGGCATGTACCCTTGGCCAGAATCGAACCTGGTACTTTCCAGGCCACAGGCCGACGCTCTATCCACTGAGCCAAACCGGCTAGGGTAGAAATCTTTAATTTTGAGTAGTCAACCCATTAGTTTTATCCTTGATGGCTTTGCTACTCCTAAGGAAAGGATGGACTGTTCCATAGCTGGTGCCAGTTATCTATACAGAAACCTCACAACTAGATTCCTTTATTATATCAGATGCAAAAATGACCAGGAGGTCATGGTTCAATTGTCATTCAGGGCACATGCCCAGGTTGTGGGCTCCATCCCCAGGAGCGAGTGTACAGGAGGCAGTTGATTGATGATCCTCTCTCATCGATGTTTCTATCTTTTTCTTCCTCTCTCTTCCTATCTGAAATAAATAAAAATATTTTAAAATATATTTTATTGATTTTTCACAGAAAGGAAGGGAGAGAAAGTTAGAAACATCCATCAGCTGCCTCCTGCACACCCCCCACCGGGGATGTGCCCGCAACTAAGGCTAATGGCCTTGACTGGAATCAAACCTAGGACCCCTCAGTCTACAGGCCAACACTAGCCACTGAGCCAAACCAGTTAGGACAATAAAAATATTTTTTTTTTTAAAAAGGATTGCTGGCGAACCCTTTCCCTATCCCACCTGGAAGTCTGTATTTGTTCTTTAATAAATCTCCACCTTTGCTATAAAAAAAAGGATTGCTGAATGTCAGAGGTGTAATCTATTGTAATGGAAAACTATGTAGTAGTTTCCATGAATTAACCACATCTGTTACATCACCATGGGCAGACTTACAAAAAACGTGAAAAGCAAATTACATAACTGTAATACCATTTTTCCAGAGTCTAAAACACATCCTCAACGACATCTATTGTTTCTAAACATTTTTATTTGTAGTAAAAATAAAAATACCAAAACAAGCATGGGAGTTATACTGAGGGGGACAGAAGAGAAAGGGGTGATGAAAAGTGAAATTTAATTCTACTTGTAAAAATTATTTTCTTTAAAGGCAGGAAGATTGGAAGCAAACAAGGATCAAGATCTGGTGAACCTGGCAAAGAATCAAATTCTAGTGGTGAAGATGTGGGCGTGTCCTTTTTTATTGTTATTAAATCTTATCCACATCCTATATTAAAAAAGGCTGATATGTAAATTGACCGAACAGTAGAACAACTGGTCACTATAGCACCAGTGCAGGAGCTGAACCCTGGTGATCAGTGCCCTCCCACAGAGGGAGCACCACGCAGCCAGAAGCCCAGAAGCCTGGCTCATGGCTGGCAAGCCAGCAGCGGTGGCAGGAGCCTCTCACACCTCTGCAGAAGCACTAAGGATGTCAACTGCCCTAACTGGTTTGGCTCAGTGGATAGAGCATCGGCCTGCCGACTCAAGGGTCCCAGGTTCGATTCCAGTCAAGGGCATGTATCTTGGTTGTGGGCACATCCCCAGTAGGGCGTGTGCAGGAGGCAGCTGATCAATGTTTCTCTCTCATCGATGTTTCTGGCTCTCTATCCCTCTCCTTTTCTCTCTGTATAAAAATAAATAAATAAATAAATAAATAAAATATATTAAAAAAAAAAAAAGCTGACACCGGTTTCGCTCAGTGGATAGAGTGTCAGCCTGCGGACTGAAAGGTCCCAGGTTCGATTCCGGTCAAGGGCATGTACTTTGGTTGCGGGCACATCCCCCAGAGAGGGTATGCAAAGGGCAGTTGATCAATGTCTATCATCAATGTTTCTAGCTTTCTATCCCTCTCTCTTCCTCTCTGTAAAAAAAAATCAATAAAAAATATATTAAAAAAAGAATGTCAACTGCTAGCTTAGGTCCACTCCCCACAGTCGGACGTATCCTAGGTTCCTAGACTGCGAGAGGGCACAGGCTGGGCTGAGGGACACCCCTCTCCCCCAGTGCATGAATCTCATACACTGGGCCTCTAGTATTTAATAATTTCATACTTAAACATTTTTTAAATTAAATAAATAAATCCTCCGCCCAGTCTCAAAGATAATTGCCTAAATGTAAAGTTTTCCCTTTTAGCTGAAACCAGTTTGGCTTAATGAATAGAGCGTTGATACATCAAGTACATATCAATTAAGCCATAAACAAAAACTGCTGGCCAAATATATATATCCTTTCATTCTCACGAATCTTCTCTAAGGACATCATTAGAATGGAGAGAGAGAGAAATGGAGAGAAACATCAATGTGAGAGAAACATCCATCAGTTGTTTTCCAGATGTGCCCCAATTGGGGATCAAACCTGCAACTCAGTATGTGCTCTGAACTGGGAATCGAACCAGCAACCTCTCAGTGTACAGGACGATGGTCAACCACCTGAGCCACTCTGGTCAGGCACCAGCCAAATATTTTTATTTTACAATTTTGGAAACAAGATTCACATTTTGTAAAGAGAAGTCAATTATAGATCTAGATCACACTCTCCCCCTGTAGCCTCCAGCAGTTGAGAGCACAAATCCACACTCGTGTTTACTGATATTTTATTCAGTGGGATAGGCTTTTTTCTCACCTTCAAATTTAGTAAAGTACGCTTCTTAGAGTAAAAATAAAATGAGTTTGAAAAGCACCATATAGTTCCTCGTGACTCAGTTAAAGTTTGGATGCTTTTCCTGTTTTACCGTTTCAGTCTGAGGCTGCTGGCTCCTGCTCCCACCCTCCTGTGAA